AAAGGAGGAGTAAACATGAAGAAACGATAGGAGAGATGTAAAAATAGCCACGCTGTCAGAGCAGTTTGCACTTGGCTTTAGAGGAATTGTCATCAGCATAGCGGACCCCCTCGCTCTCTATCAGCTCTGCTGCAGTGAGATTCAGGCTCTCTCACTCTTTGTCTCTCCCTCTTTCTCTACCTGAGCAAACTCATTAGGTGACAAACTGCCAAAGCTCCTACAGTGAACCTGGATAAAAACTGGATTCAGACAGTCAAGGATCATAACACAAAGCTACCTGTATGTGTGTGCATGCATGAATGAAATCTTGGCTTGTTCCTAGTTGACAGAGATCTCAGTGTTTGTCTCCATGCTGTGATTCACTTAGTCAGTAGAGCCACTGCTTTATGGGCCTAGGCTCCACAAATAAACTTTTGTTTATAAAATTTGTATGGCATTTTTGGAAATACGCTCATATACTTTGTACAGAGATGCAGGTGGGAAGATTGATACCACTTTAGCCAGAAAGCGATTAGCATAGCTCAGAATAGAGACCTGAAGCTGAGAGAAACAGTTTGGCTCTGCCCAAAGTTCAGAATCACCCAGTTAGCACATCTAAAACTCATAATTAACATATCTCATTTTATCTTGAATTAGATAGTGGAACTGCCCATTTTGAAGACAGCACCACTGGGAGCCACTGGAATAGCTGTTGTTCCGCAAGAAATTGTTAGCACATAAACATTATAACTCTCGTAAAACCAGTAAACTGTATGTGCATTTTTGTTTATAGACAAATTAAATAAACAAAATATAAGTTAACAGTTGAGTTTTAGAGAAGTTGGTAGAGACTTATTTGAACTTTGATTAGAGCCAGGCTACTTGTTTCCTCCTGCTTCCATTCCTTGCGGTAAGAGAGTTTCACAACAACAAAGGAATCAGCTACCAGTATTTCTCAATAGGTCAGACTGTCTCTTTAAAGCCAGTAATGCCTACTCTTTTTTTTGCATGACTTTTCTTACAGATAAAGGAAAACTTACAAGTCTTTGCCCTTTATGCACAGTAAGGTGTTGAGCCACCACTTCCTGCGATAATAGATTCAGTGTGTTTTGGCCTTGACTCTAAATGCCTCTAAACTCTACTGGAGGGATGAACACCATTCTTCCAAACCATATTCCCCCATGTGGTGTTTTGACAGTGGTGGTTACGCTGCCTAACACGTCTTTACAGAATCTCCCATAGGTGTTGAACTGAGCTAAGATCTAGTGACTGTGAAGGTCCCAACATATGATTCACATCATGCTTATACTCAACCATTCAGTGGCATCAGATGCCCCATGAATGGAGGTGTCCTGGAAGAGACTACTCATTTATTCAGGTGCTCACCCGTCTGTAGATAATGTTCCTTCCAATGGCAAAAAATGAAGGCGTCACTCCTCTTTGCTGAGGCCAATCCCTGCCTGTCTCTGTGGAAGACGGGCACAAAAAAGAACGGGGCTCGACTTTTTCCGTACAGATTCGGAATCAGAGCCGAGCTCTTAACTACTACGCGCGACAAACACATCAATCGGATCTTGGCTTGCGGCTGTGATATTTTTTTGCACTCAATCAAACAACTAAAAAAGAAAGTATCCTTCTGCTGAAATGGACACCGCCAATCAGGTGCGTAAACAAGCAAAGAGAAAGATCGTTTTGTCCAAGAGATGTGAGTAATTATATGCTCAACTGGCCATTGTGTCGTTAATTGGAGATAGAAATGAATGCGTTTCCCCTCCTTGTGTCCTTGTGCAGCTTGCATCCGCGGGGACATTTCGAGTGCTAAAATTACCTCTGGGATTTATCCGTGTTTTGGAATGGGTGAGTTGGAACTTCGATGTTTCTTTCTTTGCATGCAATAAGTTAATTGAGGAGTGCAACTACACCGACGAATTAGACTATGTTCATATCAGATCTGAGCGTCCGTGTGCGCGCGTGTATTCCTGCATTGGAAACATCTGGTTCGGACTTGAGAAACACCTGCTCCAGTGGAAATCAAACTTCACCTCATCTGTTCTGTTTTGGTACCTTAGTAGTGGTGTTTGTGTTACCGCCATGAGGTGATGAGGTGACTGACCTTACCCGTAATCAGCTGATGCTACGATCCCTTTCATTGAGATGAAATGGCTGAAGTGTTACAGCTCAGTAACAACTCCGTGCCAGGAGGAAACCACTATGTAGCTTTTAAGTTGTGCGTATTTGGGATGTGTGGTGCCAACCCTGTGCGTTTCGCACCAGGTCACAAAATTTTTTTTGCCTTAACTGAAATAATATAAGAGAAGAACGGGGAAGTTCTAGCTCTGACCGAATCAAAGCCTCATTGCCCTTTTCTGTCTTGCCTTTTGTACACTCAGTGTTTACTGTACAGTGCAGAGAAGCCTCGAGGCAAAAGGAGATAATGTGAGTTGAGAGAAATCACTGTAGCCACGAGGGTATTCAGCTTGTGCACAAATAAGATGTATGCATTTGTGAGTGTGAGCTCGTTTTTCCCACTTTTATAAAAGCATCAAATGTGCAGAGAATCCTCAAGCGGCGGCCTCTCTGCTCTCTCCATACAAATTAAACATCCTTTATCACATGCAAAGCCAGTGAATCTTGCACAGACACACTTTGATGAGATACATGATATTTTGCTGTGATAAGACAGAAGTCAGTCAGTGAGGTGTGCTCCTAGAGGCGTCCTGTTGGTATCCAGATTCACTGTGATGTTTGTGGGCCAGAGCCAAAGAACAAGCAGATGATCCAAATCGCCATCTGTATGATGAAGATAACACTCCGTCATAGCTCTGGCTTGTTCTGTGTGTGTGTGAGCACAACTGCAAACAATCTTGTGACATATTAATCCACTAATCACGTGGTAGTGCACACTCAGATGTAATCATACACGATCTCATGCTGAGCTTCAATACATTTTATAATTACACACATACTTGTACTTTTATCTTTGTATACTAATTGGCATAATGCATTCCCTAATCTCATGCTGAGCTTCAATACATTTTACAATTACACACACACTTGTACTTTTATCTTTGTACACTAATTGGCATAATGCATTCCCTGGCCAGAACTAACCACAAGCCTTCACCTACCCTAACCCTAACTTAAACCTAATTCTAACCTGAACCCTAAGACCAAGTCTTAACCCCCAAAAAGCTGTTTCCCAAAATGAGGACCAACCAAAATGTCCTCACATTCCAAAAATGTCTTCACTCTGTAGCAAAAAATACTGTGTTTGGTCCTCACTATGTAGTAAGTACAAGAACACATACACACATGAATGCACATGCACACCACAAGGCCAGGCTACCTCCACAGTTTCCTGACACTGTTATAGTAGTGACCTTTATCTTGGACCACCTTTTTCTTCTCTCTCTCACTTTCATCTTAAAAGAGAGGAACTTTGTCAACATCTCTGCTGGCCCCACGGGCTCATTCAAATGCAAACAATTCAAATTATGACCCAGGTATTCTGCTTTATTCTGTAGCACCAACAGGCTGTTCCTCTGTAGTACCAGGAAGGAAGCAGCTCTCTCACTGTTTCTCCCTCCATTTGGAATTTCAGTGATGTAACTGTAGTGTTTGCCCTCATTTTGGCCCAACATTAGTCCTGACTCCAGCTCAGCTCAGACTGCCAGGATGCCTCATGAGGCTGTGACAGGTACAGATGTACCATCTAATGTAATTTTTCAGAGAACACTGAAGAATTAGGACTGTTTTCCTGTTGTTGAGGCCACTGTGCTCCTGCAAACACTCAAAGCTTTAAAAATGGTTTTATACCTTCACCCTGATCAAATCCTCTGCACATTTTTATCACTGATGTCTACAGAGAGTTGCTTATTGTTCTTGACATATCCCCAGGATGACTGAAGTAGACAGAATGAACCTGACCAATTTGTAATGCCACAGCAAAGGGTCTGAGTACTTTACTAAATGAGAGATTTTAGTTTTTGTTCTTTAATACATTCTTTAAAAAATTCTAAAAACTTTTTTTACTTTGTCATTATGGGTCACTAAGTGAATGTTTCCACTTAAAATCTGAATCTACAACACAATAAAGTGTGCAAAAAGCAAACGGGTCTTAATCGTCTATGAAGCCACAGTAGGACCCTTGAACTGAAAACGTAGATGCTTATTTGGACCATCATCTCCACATGGCCATTTGTAAATCACAATGAACATTTGGTTATATGGACAAGCAGAGGGTTGTTTAAAGGTGATGCTGTGGTCTTTAGCTGCAGTAGACTGGTAGGTTTTATCCATCTTCAGTCAGTACTGGGCCTGCACAAGGCAAATTCATATTCAGCCATGTCTGCAGGAGATTTTACAGAATGCTTTCATGACTCTGTGTGTGTTTGTGTGGTGTGTGCATGCAAGCTTCTGGTCTGTTTGGCACACTGTCAGTGGCTGGCATATTCCACCATAAACAGCTGTAGGGTCCCCTTCTCTCCACCATGGACCAATTCATGCAGAAGCTGTCCTTTGAGATGTGCCCAAACTCTTCACTGCATGTGTGTGTACAGTATTTGTGTGGTCATGCATATATGTGGATGTGATGCAGATAATCTACATGAATTTTGTTATGCACTGAAGCATCATCATTGGTGTGTGCAGTGATACAAACAATGCATCATCTCAGTGACTTCCTGTACTGTAACAAAACTCTGGTTGGCTGGATGGATAGATGAATAGATGCTTGTATTTATGACTTAGCCTTTTATTAGAGCAACACAAATCTGCTATATGCTGAGCAGGTACAGAGGGACCCCAGTATGCAGACATTCAAACTCTGGACTGATAATATCTTTATTTAGATACGACAGATGGAAATGTTCTAAACCCAGCAGATCACAGGAAGAGGTCGACTGGACAACTGGTAAGTATGATGAAGTGAGCAACCCGGGTGGCAAGAGAGAGTAGCCTTCGGAGGAATGAGGGAGATGAGGAGGAAGCAGATGAAGGTGCTGGATTGGGAACCGGGCGTAGTGAAAGGGAGGCTACTCCAGAACAGGCAAGGTTGTAGTGGGAGAGGTTCAGCCCAAGGGGTCACGGGGAACTCAGGAGGGGAGTGGAGAGACACACCAGATTCTAATTCTGCAGTTCATAGAAGGACAGGGGCAAAGAGACACTATGCTGACCAAACACTACCAAAGCAGTCACAGCAGGGAATTTCAGGAGGGTCACATATAATGAAGGTAATAAGATGACTTAACTCAAGCATAACCAGGTTGCAGAAGCTGGGGTCTCCACCTCAGGTACAGGAGCAGTAGGTGATGAGAAGAGTCGTGGGGAAAGCAGAAGAATAAGGTCAGGAAAAGGGGCTTGCTCCATGGGAGAGCTGTCTTCCATACCAGAGGTGTAGATGAGTTGCAGGCAAGTAGTACTACTCAGTAGTTGAGCAGGAGAAGAGATGGTATCCACACACAGAGGGTCGGAGATGCAGGTAAGTGACAGGTGAGTAGCTTACTCAGTGGTCGAGCAGGATTGGAGATGGCATCCACACAGACAGTAGGAGGTTCAGGTTAATAACAGGTGGTTAGCACTGTCGCCTCACAGCAAGAACGTTCTTGGTTCAACGCCTGGCCGACCTGGGCCTTTTTGTGCAGAGTTTGCATGTCCTCCCTGTGCCTGCATGAGTTCTCTCCGGATAATCTGGCTTCCTCCCACAGTCCAAAGACATACAGCTTAGGTTGACTGGTGACTCTAACTTGCCCCTAGGAGTGAGTGTGAGTGTGTGTGGTTGTCTACACGTCAGCCCTGTGATAGACTGGTGACCTGTCCAGAGCGTACCCCTGCCTTAGATTCTTGACAGGATGCTACATATTTGCATATGTAAGCCCACCAACATAAAGAAACACACACACACACAGTAGGTTTGGATTACATTTTTGTTAGGAGCCCCCAGGTCAAACAGTGCAGTGACTTTCCCCACAGGACTGAGGGGCTGGGTTCCAGTTAGGTGACCTGACTAAGTAGCTGCAGAAGCCCTGTGGTGAAACAGCAGAATCAAGAAGGGGCATAGTTACAAAAATAAATGGAGATTTTCTGCCTGCTTGTGGCCAGTCAAGCTTACAGAGGGGTGAGCAGAGAGATAAAGGGAAAGATGAAACTGGGCTACACAGGGCACAAAGTGCTCCCCATGCAGGGAGGGATTAACCGCAGCTAAATGAGCTAGTGATTTAGTTCTGTGGTGCTGCCACCGAAGCAAAGATAAGAAAGCTTTCACATGAAGGCTTGTGGTTGTCACCTTGTTCTGTACTCTGAAGTTGCTGGGTCTTTCTGTCTAATACAGCAGCATTATTATCAAAGTATATCCATAACTGTTTAATGGGTAGAAAGAATTCTTTTGTTTTACAAATGAGGATGTACAGTATTAGTAAACTCATCACTGACAACTGACAAGTCTAAAATGAAACAAAAGAAGTTTTTAAAATGATCTTTATTGAATTTAAAATAAAAAATCAGAAAAACTAGACAGTACATTATTTCCCATATCTCAGCACCAGTATGTCAGTTAGTGACATCCCTCAAAAGTTCAGTTTAAATGTGCATGTGTCTGCTTGCCCCCTTGTGCTTCCATTTATAATGTGTGTTTGTGGCATAAAATCGCTCATGTTTGCACACTGGCCAGCTGCAGCACTGAGCTACCGAGACTGTGTATTTGTGTGTGAACTGTGGCTAATGCTTCTGCCTGAGTGGAGAGAGTGATATATTTTTACTCCATGTTCACAGACATACACACTCAATGCTCACGTGTATCGTAGAACACTCAAACACACACGCACTTTGCGCATAGAGGTCACACACGTTCAGAATCACGT